AAAGTGGCTTAAAATAGGGTTTAGGGGTGAAAATGTGCAAAATTCTAACATTAGCCGGGAGGGTTCGCACCCCCCTTTATATAGGGTGCGAAGGTTCAGATCTACGAACGAGAAGAAGACATGCGGCAACAGATGCGAGGGCCATGCGTCGGATGCGGGGGGGGGGGGGGGGCAGGTGGCGAGTCCGAGACCGAGACACGGGTACGGCATGCGGCGCTTCGCGATTGGACCTCCGCTTCGGATGCGAGGAGGGTGTGACGCGCGTCGGATGACTCACCGGTATCGGACACGGGGCAGGCTCGCGTGCGAGGTGACGTGGCCGAACCCCGGTCATGCGAAATTTCTCGGTTCTCGTGATTTCTTGAATTTTGTGTCCCGAACTTCAAAAATCCATAACTTTCGCATACGAGCTCTGTTTTCGACGTTCTTTATATGCACGCGTAGGTGAAATTATGCTCTACAACTTTTGTTTAGACTTCGTTGGCTAATTTTGATTTTTTTATTATTATATTTTTAACAGTCCGGGACAGGAAAAGTCTGTTAAAAATTCATAACTTCTTCATCCGACGTCCGTTTTAGTCTGTATTTTTACCGTTGTACTACTATTTACGAGACCTTCGATTCTCGTTTAGGTTGTGTCGGCTAAAAATCGCTCGATCTTTATTTCGAGTTTTTAGGTGACTACTGTTATACCGAAACTTAGAAAAATCATAACTTCCTCATACGAAGTCGGATTTGGACGTTCTTTTTATGAAAATTCTCGGTTTAACGAGTACTACGACTTTCATTTAGATCACTAAGGCTAAAAAAGTATTTTATCGAAAACTCACTTTTTACGCTAAATAGTGTTTGCCGGTTTTGTCGCGGATCTTCGATTGGTCATAACTTCTTCGTTATAACTCGGATTTCGATGAGGTTTTCGCCTAAATGTTTCTAACGAAATTATCTACAACTTTCAATAATAAAATTTTACTTATTTCAATTTTTATATTTTCGTTAAATTTCAATATTTTACTTTTGATTGGAATCTTATAAGACTTCCAATACATTTCGAGTGATTCTAAACATAGTTTACTTCAAATCTCGTAAAAACTATCTTGTTAGAACTCAATGCTCAAAAAAATATAATATTATTCATTTTAAGCTAATAAGATTTACAAAATACGATAATCGAACAAGGTTATTAACGTGTATGTTACACGAACACCGGATTGAGAGCATAGTCTGGTGCGTGTTCGACTCAGGATGAGTATGGATGGATTGGTAAATTAGCGGTAAGACCATGGACAGTGGCCATGGCAAGAGTGATGTAAGACTGCAGGGTGGCCCGTAACATTCACTAGGTTGGCAGATAGTGTTGGGGTGATGTAAAACTGCAGGGTGGCCCGTGGCATTCACTAGGCTGGCAGATAGTGTTGGAGTGTTGTAAGACTGCAGGGTGGCTCGTAGCATTCACTAGGTAGGCAGATGGTTTGGGAGTGTTGTAAAACAGCGGGGTGACCCGTAGCATTCACCGGTCCCTGTGTAGCGGTAAGGGCATGACAAATCCATGATTTGGTTTATGGATTTCTTCAGATGGATTGGACCAGAGTAGGTCAGTTTTGTAAGACTGTGGAAAGGCGACAACATTCATGAAATTAGGAAAGTGGGAGGTCGTTTGAGGCCAGTTGTGATATAAGACTACAGTTGGTCATGTAGCATTCACTTTTAGCATTGGATTTGGTGGCATCAGGTTTGCCGGGCTGTTATGATCAGTTGGATCAGAAAGATTGTTGGAGCCATAGTGGCGAGGTAGCTAGGGTAATTATTGTCAGATGAGGCCTTCGCTCGGAAGTCGCGTGGTGCGACTGTGTGTGTCTATTCGACTCATTAACCGGGTGGGAATCCGGTGAATCGGTTAGTTGGCAGGTAAGTTGGGACCAGGGAGGTCTCGGCTGCTTTTTGGAAAGAAGCTAGGGGGCATCAAGATAAGTCGAGGCGGTATTAGTGATTTGGGACTTGTGTGTAGAGTCACTTGTTATTCGTAGAATGTGCTAAGCCACTTGCATCTTGGATTAAATAATCTCAGAGTAAGCGAACCGACCCTGTTGTGCAGCTCTCGTTTGAGTCTAACCGTTGCAGGGATGAGTCTTCTACTCGAAGGATTATCTGAGCCTTCTGTCAAGTAAAAGTGTTCTGCAACAATAAATGGTCAGTGATTTTGTTCCCATTAGAAGCATCAAGATAATCAAGGGTTGGAAGTGTTTTGTCTCATATGGAATTCAATGAGGATTTGGCATGGTAATGGTTCAGTGTGGCCGGTCTGTCGGGGAGTCATACTAATTCGAGATTTCAGGTTTCAGGAAGGTAGAAGTGGTTTTCTGCATGAGATTAAGGGATCGTTCTTCATCGGGTTGGAGAGTTCTGCTAAGGTTGGGTTCGGTTGCCTTTAGGAAGGCTATTGTACGCGTGGGGTTGTGATTGTGTTGTTCAAACTGTCTGGTGTGCCTGTAATGGTAAGGAATGATGTCGATAACGAAATCTAATTTAAGTGGGGGAGAGTTGTAACGCTTGAAAATGGAGATGTACATAGTTGCCCTTCGTAATTAAAAGAATTGCAATGTAACCCTTGTAAGTAGTACGTGGGGCGCAGCACAAGGTACGCTTGGTGTACTAGCTGAGAAGCTAGTACCCGGGGCGTACCTCATGTATACGCTTAGCGTACTAATGGAAGATGGTCGTGGGTCCGAGGCCTCATACGATGGGCGCACGAAGGGTATGTATGGTGTACGAGGAGGATAAGAAAACCCTATTTTTCGGGGTTATCCCCTATATAAACCATAAGTTAGCCTCTTTTTGCGTTGTTTAACCAGCCTCCTCACCCTTGAAAACCCTAATTCGTTCCTTAGCCTATGTTTGGTGCTTTTGAGCTATTTGAAGCTTTTGTGGAGGGTTTTGTGCATCTAGAGGATAAAGAAGAATCTTAAAGACTCATTCTTTGGAGGAGGGCTTTGAGATCCAGCTTTAGCACCTCCATTTCGTGGCTTGTGAGGTATAAAGTTCAAACCTTTCTATTTCATTTCATAGATCTACTCCTTGGCATGTTTTTGGTCATTTTGGTCCTTTTGGTCCTTTTGGTTGATGATTGGAAGTTAATGCCGTTTTTGGAGCTTAGCCTTATAGATCTGGACATATTAAGGGTTCGTTAGGCATAAATGTGCAAACTTTATGGTGGTTTTGGTCTCATGCAAGTATTAAGTGATTTATTAAACTCGTTTGAGCTCTAGAGCCCCCATTAAGCCATGCATGCACATAAAGTTGGCAACTTTATGTGATTAACCACCTTAAGGAAGTCAAATATGAGTTTGGGTCGAAGTCTTAATGGATTAAGAGTTGAAATGGAAAAGTTGGCCAATTTGGTGAGTACGCGAGGCGTACAAGCATGTACGCTGCACATACAAACCCTTTAAGTAGTACGCTGAGCGTACAAGCTAAGTACACCCCGCGTACTCAGCAGGTTCGATTTCTTTTGTTTTGGGCTTGAGTGGGCTTGGTTGTCTTGGGCCATTTTGGGCCATCATGATTCTTTGGTTGGGCTACTAAGATTCTATTGGACTCTCTTGGGTGAAGGCCCGTGAAAGGGATTGGGACCAATTTGGAAAATTGGGCCATATTTGGGCCTTGAGTGTTTATTTTAGATTTTTGGGCTTTTGGACATTTGGATTAGGCCTTGGCCTTGGGCCAAGTTAGAGGAAGGGTAAAAATGTCTTTTACCCTAATTTGGACTCTTAGTCGGGATCCAATTATTAATTGGATGTTACTTTGTGATTGATAGAGCAGGGATTTTTAGCGGATCTGCAGTCAGAGATTTATCCGTTGGTTTCAGCTATCTGAGGTGAGTCTCCTCACTGTACTGTGGGTCGAAGGGACCAATGCCGACCCATTTGGCTTATGTTATTGGAAGACCAGGGGGTGGACCTTGGCATTTGTATGAAAGAACTGGAGGTGGCTCCTGGAAAATTCGTATGCAGGACCAGGGTTCAGACCTTGGAAGTTAAGTAGGTAGTTAGTTGTAGATTGTATGCTAGTTGTCTTTGTTATGCTTGCTTGGAAGACCAGGAGGTGGCTCCTTACACTTGTCTGTAAGACCCAGGGTTTTGGCCCCCGACAGACAAGGAAAGACCATGATACGGCTTGTGGCATAATGACAAGACTATGGTTGGCACATAGCACCTCCTATTGCATGTATGATATGTATGGTGCGTGATATTTTGGGGAACTTACTAAGCTTTGTGCTTACAGTTGTTGTTTATGGTTTCAGGTACTTCCGGTTCGAAAGGGAAGGGTCCGACTTGATCGCAGCGTATACACCCATGTTTTTCCGCAACCTTGTGAGTTTGGGATTGTACTCTGATAACTGTTTTTATTATAAAATACATTTAAGTGTTTGAGTAATGATAAATGGGTGTTTTGATTGTTTTAAAAATGAAAATTTTACAATGATATTTGGGGACGTTACGCCCATTGATGGTCGTTTAATCCCTATATAACCAAATATTTATTTTTATCGCAATTAATTATGTTAGTTATTGATTTGAAGTGACAAATAAAAATTATTATTACATATTACAAAAAGAAAAAAAAACATAATTTTGAAATATTATAAAGTTATTTCACTTATAAATAACAAAATACATAAATACAAGATTATTTTGGACCAATGATTCTAGTCCAAAAAAAAAAAAAAAAAAAACCTCATTTTGGACATTGATGCTACTTCAAAAACACTTTAGACCAAAGTAGCGATTTTTGCCTAACCACGAGGACCATTTTGTGGTTTTGTCTTAAAGAAACTTAAGTAATGTTGCCATGTTGGTACATTGCACGACTCGTTTGAATGAAGTGCCTTCCCCCTCCCACCACTTTCTCTCTCACACAGATTCACATTCAATACGTGTGAGACAAAATCCAACACCAAGATACATCATGTTTATGTGAATGTGTGTGTGTCTGTTGACAGACAGAAGGGCTATGACAGAACATGCCGAAATTAATCCTTTTAAAGTGATGTATATTTACGACATATTTCAATGATGTATGCACAAATGGAGCTTCAACTGGCCCTGTCTCTCTCTTCTTCTTCGTCTTCATCTTCTACAGAGTTTGATCTGAACGATCAGAACCATGAAACTGTACAAGGAAAAGCCATGTTTGGGTTCATGAAATCGGAGGATTTTTTGAAAAGGAAGCTCTGCGTTAATGGCGATGACGATGAAGAAGAGTTCCATGTCCCTGAAACACTGCCTCTTCTTTTTTGCAACAATAGTAACGAAGATTATGGTGATGATGTGAATGAAGTTGAATCCACTTTTATGTTCATCAATAACAAGTAATTATTTTCGCTTTCCTCTTTTTTTCTTTGATGATTATCACGGTATTTAGATTTTGATTTTTTGTGAAAGAAACATGGTAGCCTTATATATACTCTTTTCCATTTTATTGAAAAATATAGTTATTATTATTTTTGAACAGCATATATAATTATTATGATAAATATGTTAGCTTATATGTAATTATTAATTAATACGATAAATATGACTAAACCGACATTGTTATGTTACTACAAATTAAAGTAATATAATTATTTTTTTACATGGCAAAATGGGTCGGGTCACTTTGACTTCCATGCACTCTTTGATTTTTCTTTAGAATCTTTAATCAATAGATAATATGTTAAGTGGAGAAATTAAATATCCTTCTATATAGGAGAATATTTGTTTGGTTTCAAGAATATTTTTAATTAAATTGATTTAGAAGGCTTTATTTGTTTGGTTTCACTCTAGGCAACTTCTATGATCCGTTAAAGATAAAATGTAACTAAGGTTGACTCGTTTATCCTTATATAAACCGACTGAAAATAGTACATATAAGAAAATTGTTATCATAGTAAATAACTCTTACGGGTTTGAAGGCATAAATTAAGATGTAACGAAATTTACATGGTTCATCAGAGCCACTCTCATGCCAAGTAGAAAAGATTTATTATTAATTTTGTCAAATCTTTACAACTACATAGAAATCTATATATAAAGCTAGGCATTTGAGGTATTTAATTTTGACCATTAAAACATATTAGATTTCCATCATAAAACGGCATATGGGCACCTATTGCTTGGTTGCATAGCAATGATCCGGTCCAATCAGATTTCAGAATTCAACAGTAACTAGATCAGAAAACATGAATTTGTCACGTGTTATAACACATATACAGCATGTTTGTCATATATATTGACTATTGTGTTGGTTTTCAATTAGAAACGGTGGAGATGAGAATGGTGTAATCGGGTGGCCACCGGTGAAATCAAGTAGGAAGAAGCTTTGCCACCAGAACCATGGTGGCAGTGGTGGTGATGATGGTCGTCGAGGAAGCGGAGGGTCAAAGTCAATGTATGTTAAGGTGCAAATGGAAGGAGATGGAATTGCAAGAAAGATTGACCTTAATCTACACCGTTCTTACCATACACTCGTTCACACGTTAGCCCATATGTTTGGGAAGTGTAAGTACCTATGATAATGTGGATTAATAATCAAACAATTTTTTTTAGTCTACTACTATTAATATACCCTTTTATTTATTATATACTTCTTAGTTTGATAAAAACATCAAATCAGTGGTACAATAAGTAATTAGGGATGCATATTTGATAAAGTAAATGTTAAAATATTAAAATAGAAATGTATATTTAATAGTAGCGAGGGTGTATGAATAAAATCACATTTTTTAATATATGTTATAAAAATAATATTGTTTTTAGATATTATGTAAAACATTTTGATGTTGAATTGTTTGTCAAAATACTTATAGATGTTGTCTTCATAACATGCATGATCATGATGTTGGAGAAACAGGTAAAGAAGAAGTGAAGCTTACGTATCAAGACCAAGAAGGGGATTGGTTGCTTGCTAGTGACGTGCCTTGGGGGTATTTTAGTAATTCATGCGAATTATAATTCAATAAAATCTAATACATGCTTAATATTCACAATGTTGGTCGATCAGGATTACATTCTTACCCCTAGGCTATTTCTAACTTTTGCAGATCATTTATGGAGGCAGTTCAGCGTCTAAAACTACTAAGAAGTAGTTATTGACAGATTTGCAAGATAGAACCTTCATCGTTTTGGTAGAATTGGAGCTAGAAATATAAGTAGAACTATCAGAAATATATAATTTTCTGTTCTAAATACAATGCGTTAATTAATTATGTGGTATCGCGTGGTTTTTATGTGATGGTGTGAATTCTAGACGACGTGTGCGGATTTAATTTCATAATTTTCTTCTATTTGTCGGAATGAATTTTACTATTTCGTTTTCTTTTATTTCATTTGTTATACGCTTTTAACGAGTGTTTCCTGTTCCTTAATGACTATTCTCTAGTATAACAATTGTATAGTATAGTAATTGTATAAACAATTATAGTATAGCAATTGTATAAACACAGACCAATATATCAAAATATCTCTTTGATTTATAATTGGAAATATCACTCAAAAACCAATTGGTTTACACTGTGTTTGTGTTGTACTGCATATTCATAACTCGATATATGTTGTATATATATATAAGCTGGAGTAAGCTTATAATATTAAACTACAAAAAGATACCCAACATCTTGATGGTATTCCTTTTGCTTTTCCTGGAAATATGGTGAGTGGAAGACAATGGAGGGAATTAAGGAATTGAGATTCCAACAATCACCCCCGAATCTCTAAGTCCTTCTAGAGATTCCCGATCACCGCCAATCTTTAAGTCCTTCTAAAGATGTCTTCAATCCCGATCAAGTCCCGCATTGTCTTGAACTTGGTTCGAGCCAATGGTTTTGTGAGAATGTCTGCCTTTTGTTCTTCACCTGGAATGTACTTCACCTCCACTTGTTCCTTTTCAACACACTTACGAATGAAGTGAAACCTCGTGTGAATGTGTTTGCTTCTTCCGTGAAAAACAGGATTCTTCGTGAGTTCGATAGCTGACTTGTTATCAACTCTTAGGACCACCTTCTCTTGTGCTTTGTTCATGATTTCGCCTAGCAAATCTTGAAGCCATATTGCTTGACATGCAGCCGCAGTTGCAACCATGAACTCCGCCTCGCAAGATGATAAAGCAACAGTATCTTGCTTTTGAGAACACCATGTTATTGGAGACAACCCATAGTAGAAAATGTGACCGGTTGTGCTTCTTCCGTCATCTGGATCAACATTATGACTACTATCACTGTAACCAATTATTCGATTTTGTCCCATCCTCTTGTACTTGATTCTGTATCCCGTTGTTCCTCGTAAATACCTTAGGATGTGTTTGATTGCAACACCATGTGATTCTCTTGGATCTTGCATGTATCGACTAACAACTCCAACCGCATATGTCATATCGGGTCTTGTCTGCAAGAGATATCTAAGGCATCCTACCAACTTTCGGTATTGTGTCGGGTCGATTTCGGGTTCATCTTCGGCCTTCGACATTTTGGTTCCTGGATCCATGGGAATGTGGGTCGGATTGCAATCGTGTAAACTGGCTTCTTTTAGAATGCGTCTAGCATACGCTTCTTGGTTTATAGTAATCCCTGATTCTTCTTGTTTGACTTCAATGCCCAGGTAGTAAGTTAATCTTCCAAGATCAGACATCTCGAAGTTCTTGGACATTTCAAATTTGAACCTTTTGATCATGCTCAAATTTGTACCTGTGACAAACAAATCATCAACATAGATTGCTAAAATTAGCAAGTTGGATCCTTCGTTCTTCCGGTACACCGATGGTTCTTTCATGCACTTATGAAATTTCATTCCTTTCAAAATCCCATCAAGTTTTGTATTCCATGCTCTCGGTGCTTGTCTAAGACCATATAGTGCTTTTGAAAGACAGTACACCTTGTGCTCGTCGCCTTTCCTTATGTAGCCTTCCGGTTGATACACATAGACGGTTTCTTTCAACTCTCCATGTAAGAAAGCCGTCTTGACATCCAAGTGGTGAAGCTCCCATCCATTGGTAGCGGCTAAGGCAATGAGAAACCGTATGGTTTCGATGCGAGCTACCGGAGCAAATACTTCTTGAAAGTCAATACCAGGTTGTTGTACGTACCCTTTAGCAACCAACCTCGCCTTGTGTTTGTTTATGGTGCCATCTGCATTTTTCTTCAGCTTGAACACCCATTTGAGTCCAATGGGCTTCACCCCCATAGGTTTGTTTACGAGAGACCAAGTATTGTTCTTGTTGATCGAATTGATTTCTGTATTCATGGCTTTGACCCACTCTGGTTCTTTCTTTGCCTCTTCAACCGATACCGGCTCGTCATTGGTTGCTAGGAGAAGTTCTTCAATTTCATCAACATAAAGCACATAATCTCGTAATCGAATTGGAAGCACCTTTTGTCTTGTGGGCCTTTGGTTTTGAACATTGTTCACGTTGTTGTTGATCGGACTTGGTTGCTCATTTTCTTGTACCTCCACTCCGTCTTCAATCTCGTGATCCGGTTCGTTTGTTTCGTTGTTTACATCGTTTCCTTGGTTGTTGTTTGCCTCATCTTCCGGTAAATCCCATGGTACTATGAATGATCCTGGTTCTTCATTGTCAGGTGTAGCTTCGTTAACCCAATTCCATCCTTTGGTTTCATTAAAAATAACGTCTCGACTTACGATTATTTTTTGTGTAACCGGGTTAAATAACCGATAGGCTTTTGTACCCGGTTCAGAACCAAGATGAACCAATGGTCTTGATCTTGCATCCAATTTTTTCACGTTTACTGGTTCAACTTTTGCATACGCTAAACACCCAAAGATGCGTACGTTCTCCAAATTAGGTTTTCTTTTATACAACTTCTCGTACGGAGTTGTATCACCAAGTACTCTTGTGTAAACACGGTTGATCAGGTTTGTGGAATGTTTTACCGCTTCTCCCCATAGATAGTTTGGAACATGCATCGCCTTCATGATACTTCGTGTCATGTCCATAAGTGTTCTGTTTCTTCGTTCCACAATACCGTTTTGTTGTGGTGAATATGGGGCGGTAAGATGGCGTTTGATTCCATTCATATCACAAAAGGAATTAAACTCGAGCGAAGTAAACTCACCTCCTCGATCACTTCGAAACACCTTTAAAGACTTTCCGAGCTCATTCTCCGCCAAAGCTTTAAATTTTTTGAAGTGTAAAAACGCCTCATTTTTCTCTTTTAAGAGAAAAATCCACATATACCGTGAAAAATCGTCAATTAGTGTGAAAATGTATTGATTTTGACCCTTCGTTGACGGTGTTATCGGTCCACATAAATCACCGTGAACTAGCTCCAATGGTCGTGTTGCTTTGTACGTCGTCATTAATGGAAATGACTTTCTTGTTTGCTTGCCCACCAAGCAAGATTCACACAATTGATTCTCACTGTCAAAATAGGGTAACCCTTTGACTAGACCTTTCTTGGACATCTTTTTCATTGACTCGAAATTTATGTGTCCAAGTCTTGCATGCCAGCGCCACGTGTCTTCACTCAGTCTTGTATGAAGGCAAATAGGTACTCCAATAGGCAACTGTATTTTATAAAGGCGATTTGGAGTTCTTTGTACCTTCATTAATAAGCAGTTGTCGGCATCATGCATCGTCAAATAGTTGTCTTTCATCCGAATATCACACCCGGCTTCGGTTGCTTGTCCGAGACTGAAAATATTATTTTTCAAATCCGGAATGAAATAAATCTCCGTTATCAATCGTTGTTGTCCCGATTTTCCTTGGAAAACAATTGAGCCTTTCCCTTTTATTTCGACACACGAATTATCACCGAATTTGACCTTTCCGGTTATTCCTTCGTCGAGTTCGGAGAAAAATGAATGATTTCCCGTCATGTGATTACTCGCCCCGTTGTCCAAATACCACACATCGTTTTCTTGTGAGTTGTATCGAGACGGTATCACCTTCTCTTCGTTCAAAAATACGGTCTCGTGTAAAAATACTGTTTCACCGGCATCGTCGTGTTCAGTAAAATTACTTTCTTGGAATTTTTGGGTTCAGTCCGGACATTTGGATGCATAATGGCCCGACTTATCACATCTGTAGCATATAATCTTCGACAGATCTTTTTTCGGGTTTCGGTTTGAGTCCGAATTAGAATTGGGCCGGTTATTGGGCTTATTATTGTTTTGGGCCGAATTGGGTCTATTTCCTTTTGGGCCTGACCCACTGGATCCTACTGACCCGGATCCACCACCCGACCCGCTTGACCCATTTCGATTAAAGCCTCCCGACTCGGTGACATTAGAACCCTTCCCCCGTTTTCCCCAATTCGTCTTCCCCGACGATCCAGAACCTCCACCGCCATCATTTCTTCATCCACCACCACCACTCGTTCTAGTCATCAACACTCTTTGTTGCCCGTCTCCGCCTTCATCTGCTTTGATTCTTTCTTCATACGCTTTCAGACGCCCTACGACGTCATCGAAGGATACTGTCTTCAAGTCAAGCACTTGCTCGAGGGAGGCAACGATTTGAATGAACCGATGAGGTACCACCGTCAAGAGTTTCTTCACGAGTTTCGTTTCTCCGATGGGTTCTCCCAGTGACGCTGACTTCGAGGCGATTCCAGCGAGCTTTCCGGCGAAAGCGTCTATCGTCTCTGTCTCCTGCATCTTCAGTCGGTCTAGATCGGCAGTGAGAGTTTGAAGTCGGGCCTCTTTTACTCTGTCGGCTCCAACATGTCGAGCCCTAATCGACTCCCAGAGGACCTTCGCTTCATCGACGTCCCCTATCTGCATTATCAAGCTCTCAGGGATTGCTTGATACAGCAATCCCATGGCAAGGTAATTCTTTTCATCATTCTTCTCTTCTCCTGGATCGATTATGGTCCAGGCTTTATGAATTCGAAGTACAACTTTCATACGCAGGGACCATACGATGTAATTTGTGGAATTCAACATCGGGCAAGCCACTGTGGTTGATCCTATCTCTTTGAGTTTCACCGGAGCCGTACCAGCATCACCACCATCTCCTTCTTTGTCTGACATCTTTACTGGTGTCCTTCTTGATCACCAGGTAATTCAAAGCTTTCACAGCTCCCCTTGCCTGATTTCGAAAGCTCTGATACCAATTCTAGTATAACAATTGTATAGTATAGTAATTGTATAAACAATTATAGTATAGCAATTGTATAAACACAGACCAATATATCAAAATATCTCTTTGATTTATAATTGGAAATATCACTCAAAAACCAATTGGTTTACACTGTGTTTGTGTTGTACTGCATATTCATAACTCGATATATGCTGTATATATATATAAGCTGGAGTAAGC